ATAAAATGGTAGAAGGGATTCAATAAAGGTGGAAAACATGACTGACTGACCGACTGACGTTTAACCCCACCAGAAACGCAACATCAGCGACAAACACCCGGTGACACAAAGTGCCTGCATTCCGATGAGAATCACACTGCCGCAAGTCTCAAAAATCCCCGTTAAGCCCGAAGGTTATATTTAGGGTTCCTGATGACGGTCAGGGAGGGATTTTACAAATACCCATACACAAAAGTTGTATCCAACATTAGGATAGGAATTATAGGTGCCTGAGCTCCTAGGGTCTAGGGACAATACCGAAAGAGTTGGAAATGAAAAATACACAAAACTGTTATATATTTGCTCCAACATGTCATTGCGGTTGCATGAGTAGGGCCAGACAAAATTAGTTAGCCTGTCTTTTATGGCCCGTGAACTGGACGTTCCCCACTTAAATATGGGTATCTAAACGGTTACTCCACTTCATCTTAGAGTGCTCCGAAATCCGCTATGGTAAAAGGCCGACAACTTCAAAACATATAAACACTATTGTTATTACTTGGTTATTCCTCTTATATCGACAGGTCATCATTTATCGGCGACCTGGCCACCCACTGGATCGCCGGTAGACGATTTCGTCACCGGTCAGAAATTGGAATTGGAATTTTCGATCCCACGTGTTTTTTACCACACTTTATTTCTTCTGCCTTGTCTTGTTCAGTCCACGGACATTATAATTATTATTTTGTTATCAGGATTTCTCAGTATGTATCCTTACCAGCACCAGCAACTTTTCCTCAACTTATGATTGTTTGAGATTTTAGTCAAACTTACTTAGCTGTGTATGTCAGAGACCTGAAGTTTTTGATTAATGGTATTATAATGGCGATAAGCTAGCGATTTGATACAAAGGATGGAGATGACAATTTTGGATGATGGTGACTTTAATTATGATATATGATTGTGATGATAATGGCAGTGGTGATGATGTCTGCCTTGGGGTTAATGGTGGTGATAATGATGATGACGATGACGACAATGATGATGAAAGTCACAGCAAAAAAACAGTGACAATAATAAGCCTTCAGATCCAATATACTCATTAGCAATACGTATTAGACATTTTTTTATTATTTTTATTATTATTCTAAGAACCAGGGAACCAGACCTCCGGGACGACCCAGGGTGCGCTGGGAAGACAACATCCGACAGTCCCTAACTGACAGAGGACTAGAATGGAACAAAGCCAGAAAGAAAACTGCTGATAGAGACGTCTAGCGATCTCTGTGGCAAACCTCTACACCCCAAGGTAGAAGAGGAGCGACTAAGTAAGTAAGTTATTATTGTTATTATTATTATTATTAATATTGTCACTTAATAGGAGGAGTTGTTCAATGCATAGTGTCCGCCTCGAGTGCTAGAGGTTCCGATACCGTGATGTTGATCCGTTGTTCAAAACCTCAAAACTTAATATGAGGATAAATTAGAAATTACAGTAGGTAATAATATGCAGTGCAAAAAATATGTTGGGTGAATTACATGATGTAAGTTGTACTTCATCATGCTAGGTATATGATATAATATTAGGTATATTGCATGACGTTATGCAAACTGCCTGATGTAAGTTACATGTTATGATGTTCGTCACATGTTTTGATGTTAGACATATTTCATGATGTTAGGTATATTGCATGATGTTAGGTTAATTGTCTGATCTTAGTTACATGTTATGATGTTCGTCACATGTTATGATGTAAGTTATATTTCATGATGTCAAGTATATGATATAATGTTAAGTACATTACATGATGTTATGTAAATTGCGTGATGTTAGTTACATGTTATGATGTTAGGTACATGTCTTGATGGTAGATATATATTTCACGATGTTAGGTATTGTGACGTGCGGAGCTTCATTGTAACGAGTGTAAAGTGACTAGGGGTGTCGCAATGTAACAAATGGCATCAACACTTAACATGCCACTGGCCAAGAGTAACACAACATGATGAATGCTGAAGCTGCCAAACGTAGCGGAACGAGAACTCTCTTTAAAAGTTCCATTTGTGTATTGACAAATAGCAATGATCAACACAAGGAGAAATATGCAATCAATAATCAAGCACATTAACCAGAGCTCGCTCGTACATCCATGGACTGATATGTCCTCACGATAGGTCGCAGTCCGACCTTGAGATTCAGACAATCATCTTTGTGTTCAGTTCATCCGTCTGAATTAAATAATGAAGGTATACCGGCTTACTGCCGAAATGCAACGTTCACCAGCTTCCTGCTGAGGTCTATCTTGGAGTCCCGGGGTAAAGCGTCCTCAAGGATCCAACTTTATATAACGTTTGCTTCCGTGGGATCCCGGGGTAAAGCGTCCTCAAGGATCCACACGTCCGTCTCCTTCGGACTATAAACATCAACTCAAAGTATACCGGCTTACTGCCGAACTGTGGCATCCAGGGGTAAAACGTCCTCAAGGATCCACCGTGGGATCCCGGGGTAAAGCATCCTCAAGGATCCACACCAAGGCCGGACCCAAACGTCCGCCTTGGTCAAACTTCGACTTTCATCTCCTAGAATACAATTCCTTCACTACCTGACGTATTGTTTTGACGTCTTATTTGCTCACTCCGTACCGGCGCGTTCTAGTGCACATTCGCACGCGACAGGTATACTGCATGATGTTAGGCAAATTGCCTGATGTTGTTACATGTTGTGATGTTATGTACATGTTATGATGTTAGATTTATATTTTAGGATGTTAGGTATACTGCATGATTTTAGGCAAATTGCCTGATGTTGTTACATGTTGTGATGTTAGGTACATGTTATGATGTTAGATTTATATTTTAGGATGTTATGTATACTGCATGACATTAGGCAAATTACATGTATGGTGTTAGGTACATGTCATGATGTTAGACATATTTCATGATGTTAGGTATATGCACTGTTATTGTTTTTTTTTTTTTTTGCTTTTTTTTTTCAAGCGGCATACAACGGTACTCTGTACTGGTATCTTTTTTTTTTAGGCATAATTTGTTCCACACTACTATAGTAGACATTCTTGGGGTGGGTACCGTAACTAGTTCAGGCACTCTGTGGGGGAGTACCAGCACCTTTTATTCTAGAAACGGCCCTAGTTGTGTGTCGATCTAGTAGGTGTATGTTATGATGTAAGTACATGTCATGATGTTAAGTATATGTTATGAGTTTAACTATATGTCATGATGTTAATTATATGTCATGATGTTAAATATATGTCTTGATGTTAGCTATACGCCACGATGCTAACTATATACCATGATGTTAACTATATGTCATTTTGTTTACTGTATGTCATATAGTTAACTATTAGTCAGGATTTTAACTATATGTCATGATGTTAAGTATATGTCTTGATGTTAAGTTTATTCATAATGTTAAGCGTTTGTCGCGATAATGTTAACTATAAGTCAGGATTTAACTATATGTCTTGATGTTAACTATATTTCATGATGTTAAGCGTTTGTCACGATGATGTTTATATGTCACGATGCAAGTATATGTCATGAAGTTAAGAGTATGTCATTATGTTAAGTATACGCTATGATGATGTTAACTACATGTCATGAAGTTAACTATGTGGCATGATGTTCGAAATGGGTGGTAATGTTTGGTATATGTCATGATGTTATGTAAATTGCATGATGTTAGGTATATGTTCTGGTGTTAGGTGCGGGTGTTCATATATAGTTCAGAAGGTCACCCAGTAACAAGTCTCGCATTCAGTTTCCTGATATACAATTTGACATAATTATTTATTAGTTAATAATAATATCTTTTTGTCTTCATTTCGTCCTGTTTTTAATCACATTTTATCTGTCCGTAAATTTTCAAGTTTTATTATGAAAGAAACAGCTTGTAAACTGAATTGCATCATCATAACTGAATCAAGGTTTTTTTGGAGTGGGGGTGGGGATGAGGAAGAAAATGATGCGAACAACGACCATCACAGTGGTTGATAGGAGACTTTCAAGATTGCCTCTACATTTCTACAAAACTACTTACCTTAGTGCCATTTTATCAGACTACATGCCTTCCATTTGAAATTATCGGTGTTATTATTGGGTTTCAATGTTTATGTAAGATTCAGTCAGTGTGAATGATAACTCAATGCTTTAAATGCATATGTGACATTTATAGTAAATGTAAGTCAAGGTCCCTTTTCCACGCCTTTAGGCATCTTGTGAATATAGGGCTAGACCTATATTTTTATAGCCCAATCGGTACTTGTGGGTGACGTGGTCAGCATCACGCCGACCGCCTTTACTTCCCAGGGCTGCACCTGGTACCCACTCAAAACTGGGTCGACTTGGGTGTCAAGGTCATTTTTGAAGAAAAAAAATCATATACATATAAAATGACCCATTTGAAAATAGGGAAATATATACAGAGCAATTTACTGAATTGCTCTCAAGTTTTGGTTAAAGAGGGGATAGGGCCTAAAGACATCAGAGAACTGATTTCGACATTCACTACACGTTTAAATGTATTCAAGTGGGAATCCCATTACTTAGGGACCCAGTGGTTCGTTGAACCCTGTATATGGGTTCCTGTGCCCCTTTGTGGGGAAAACAAGAATAAACTCACTGCCTCCTCCAACAAGCATGTCGTAAGAGCCGACTAGCTGGAGGCTTGCTTCGGAGTCGGAGTGCAACAATCCGTATACACATTAACCAGATCCGTAAATAACGGATGTGCACGCGACACTCAGATTTTGGAATAAGACTAAAGTCAAGAGGTGGACAAACAACCAAAACTTTCTGCTGGAGGTTACAGCCAGTGAACGCGAAGAAGAAACAATGCTTCGTTGTGTGCTGAGGACTAACTACGTAAAGCTTCGTAACATTCTAATATATGTACTAATTATGTTACATATGAAACGCCATTGTGTTTCTAACACTGTTCCCCTTCTTCTTTTATACTACTGACTTCGTATACTTGAGATGTTTCCAACAAAATCTATCACCAGCTAATTACCTCTCTTATTGACACCAATTCGACATTTGCAGGCATGAAGTTCTATAAACGAATAGAGGCTTTTTGGTACCTCTCCCATGTAAGAGATGTTATATGTAATAATTTTTCGGGCCGCCAGGCATTTCAGTTCAGTTTCCTGAATAACGTGTCTGAGATCATCTCCTGGTTGTAGCAAGTCTAACGCCTTCTCTAATCGGTTATTTACCTGGTCGGCGTGAACTCCAAGCCTGAGCAACATCCTGAAGAAATCAAAGTCCAGAATAAGACCTTGCTTGTAACTGTGAACTGCACGGTGCAAAACAGTATTCCCTTCACAGTCTGTGGCTAATGGGTCAGCACCAAGCAACAGAAGAATCTCACACATCGTGTACTTGTTGCACTTCTTTGGGGTTGATTTCTTGCAGCTGGTGTCGTAGGGTTGAAGCAACTGGACGTTCAAACACATGTGTAGCAAGGTTCGTCGTTGACACCTCTGAGATTTAACCTAATTAACTTCTGAAGATGTGTGCCTATTTCTGAATTGCGAGCTGCGGCAGGAAATATATTCAAATATCCATAGAACAGTGCCAGGATTGTTTTCACCAGAACGCCAAAAGAAAGGCGAAATTGTCTACTTTCATTTTCATTTTTTCTTAAAATGTCGTTAGTCTGGGAAATGTGTTGACATGTTACCGGAAACAGGTCTCTGATTACGTTTTCTGAAATATATTGTGGTTGTTGGCAGCACTGACTGTTTTCACTAGAACTGTTTGTTTCCTCATTAATGCTGTGAAAAATCTTCAGCAAAAGTCGTAAACAGTTTATAATTGTATTGCTAAGCATTTCCGAACAGTTGTGTTCAAAACAGGCGTTCGTGCGTTTTTCCAATTGAATTTTGTAGGCGGTTTTCCACAAGTTGACAGCTTGCAGAAAGTTCTTGTTATCCGCACTGATCCCGCCACTGTAGATCATTAAGTTGATGAAATTGTCGTCTGCAGGTCCTCGGATTCTCTCATAAACTAACAATGCTTGCATACAGAGCGCTTCGTGGTGGTAAAAATTTCTAGAAAATTCGTTCCCGCTTATGTCTTGCATCTCCAAAAAATCAGTTAAAACCGAGGTACGAAACTGTATCCTTGGTGCTTGATTACTTAGGCGCCTTAACTCAAAAGCCTTGTGCCAATAAAGGTACCAGTTGAAGTAGTCGTTGTCCATGATGATGCATACAGACCCCAGCACCAAAAATATATCCACCAACTCTTCTAGACTGGGTGTCGCTATTTTAATAAAGTAATCGACCACGTCTCTCTTACCGTATTTTGCCGCAGTGTGGACTGGACGACAACGATCCTTGTTAACCGTTTTTGGGTTAGCTCCCATCTCCACCAACAACCGAACTGTATCCAGCTTACCAGCTTCTGCGGCATAGTGCAGGGCTGTGTTTCCATGGATGTCAACATCATTTAATTCTAATCCACGGTGAATTAACAGTTTCATCGTCTCCAGGCTAGCGATGGCACTCATAAGGCAATTACCGCCATGGGTGTCTTTGGTAAAAATATTTGCACCGTGAGCTATCAAAAATGCAACCACAGGAAAGCTGGAGGAACAACAAGCAGCTCTCACTACACTACAGCCTGATGATGCTGTTGCGTTGACATTGGCGCCTTGTGATGTCAATAGACGAACAATATCTAGGTTACAGGACGCGGCTGCATACCACAATGGCGTTACCTGCAAAAGCAACAAAACAAGTTGCAAGAAAGTTACATATTTAGAGAAAGAGCAATTTTAATTATCTGGGCACATTACAAGAAAAGAAAAATCATAGTGCATCGTAAAAACAGAAAAGAGCCACGGGAGACCAAAAGAAAGGTGTTGTTAGGCAATTTGGCTTCAATGTGTGGAAGATACTCTATATCAGAAATCACTGACAATATAGGAGGCACAAGGTTTTGAATATATACGATGACCATCGCGGCAATGCACTAACTTTTAGAAGAACACTTTTTTTAACGGATCAACATCATGTCACAAGGATTGTAAACCATAAGTGCTCTGTTCTGCTTCTAACTCAAGCCTGAGTCCGAAGAATCTCAGCGCAGCTCACGAACTCTGTAGCACCGGCGAGAATCATGAAATACTTTGGGTAGACTTTTAGCTCCACATTTTTCCTGGGCAACGTCTTTTTAATTTCCAACTGCCAGGGGATTTTTTTTTACTTTTTACAATAATACACACTGGCTTCTGGTCTTACTTCCCAGAGATCAGGGGAAATTATTAGAAGTCCACGTGAAAAAAATTCCAGCCTTTACCGGTGCCTGAACCAGGGACCTCCAGCACTCGAGGTGGACGAAATGCCTCAAGACCACTAGAAGACCACTAAAGAATGGTCAGTTACAGGCTACAACTAAGCATACACTGATGGAGAGTTGGGCATAGTAAGTATGCCTACATTTGAGTGAATTAATTATATAAAAGTGGTGACAAAACAGAAATTAAAAATGAATTTGAGCTATGCTATCCAAAAAATAACAAGACCAAGCTGTACTGAACTGATTAAAGGCATCTTCAGATCGCCCATCCACATTGGACAGCTGGTAACTTGTTGTGTTTTCCTCTTCCCATCTTCGTTGAGCTTCCCAGTTCATTTGATTAATGACTTCGCAACCCTGGGGTGCCCAGTATCAATGTTTCATACGGTTGAACGTGGTTTCTGAGATTTTCCCCTGCCGTAGACGCAATAGTGGTTCTTTGAGTCACTGGCTGTCACTCACCCATGCTGCACTCTCAGACAGGGGAAAAATAATCAGCCCTAGTTATTAAATACTGATTAAACTAACAATGATGGGTTATACTTCCCAGCTGATATACTTATAATGCAGAATAAAACGAAGGTAATGAGAAAACTAAATTTTAAGATGATCTGTTGTTAGAATAGATTCCTTTGTACCTTTAAAGGTGAGATCATCGACTATATTGCACAGGGCTTCGTCCCATTCAACCTCATCTCTCTCAGCTGATCGCTTGCTGAATGAAAGAAAAAGTTAGTAGCGTATCCTTTACAGGACGTTGAAGAACCAACCCCAACATTTTCCGGCTGTTTTTCTGGATACATTTTATGTTCAGTAGTTTGCCATTGTTTCTGAGGGGTCAGCTCTCGGTACCACTATCGAAACCAACGCAAGATAAACCGTCCGCAGCTGGGATCAGATCCGGCAACCCCATATTACGAAGCGCGTTCGCAACGCCTAAGCCACAGACGCCGGCCGCTGAATGAAAGCATGGCACAGATAAAATCTGTATATTTCCAGTAACAATCCCTGGGGATTTCCGACAAAAAGCTGCAAAAATTAATTAACTTGTTTAGTGTAATTTGGCTCCCAACAAAGAAAAAGAAAAAAAAAACTCCATCACCTAACCAGTGATGGAACTCACAGTAATAGTCCGTTCTATACTCACAAATAGCTAAAATAAAAAAAAACCCACCTGTCATCTGCCCTCTTTGAAGGGACGAATGTTTAAGGGCCTTGGCATCCGTGTCCACCCAAAGTAAACTGGACTGTAAGCAGTCTTAGTTAACAGCTTCTGTCATCAACGAATAGTTAATGATCGAGTGAAGCGTCGTGGGGTGTCGCCCTGGACTGTTTAGTTTAAGTGTGTCCCCGACACAAAACTTCATCACCTAACCAGTGGTGGAACCTACAGAAATATTCCGTGATTTAAAAAAAAAGTACTCACAAATAGCGGAAATAAAAACCCGCACTCGTCATATCTCCCTCTCCGAAGGGACGATGTTTAACTAACCTTGTCATCCGTGTCGGCCCAAACCAAACTGGACGGTAAGCCTTCTTAGTTTCTGTCATCAACGAATAGTTATGATTGAGTGAAGCGTCGGGGGGAGGCTAACTGAGACTGTACTGAAATCGGATGTCTTTGGGCGTAAGGCGCAGATGTCGCAACTTAGCTGTAAACCACTACAACACGCGCCAATCGCCCCTTAAAGGGAAAAAGAAAAATTTGCACCCAGCGGGAAATCGAACACCGGTCATTCGCATGAAGGGTGGAATACTTACAACTCTACTACCGAAAACTGAAGACGTTAGGTCAGATATTGCAGCCTAGCTGTAAACCTCAACACAACGTGCCAACCGCCCTCTCAAGGGCGAACGAATATTACCCGTGACATGAACATTGAGCATCACGTTGCCGCTATCACAGGCTAGCTGTAAACCCCAAAATCCAACGGAATAAAAAGCGTAGATATTGCAGCCTAGTTATAAACCACACAAAAAAACGTGGCAGCCACCCAGCGGGGGAATCGATCCCCTATCACCCGAGTAAAAAGCGAAATGCTTACAACTAACTACGCTAATAAATACTCAAGCATTTAGTAGAAATGAAAGTATATAATAATAATGTGAAGTTCGGTGTTACACAGTCAAAGGTGGCCAATCGATTAAAAATAAATCCGGGCGGGCAACAAAACAAATAATGATTAGACCGTTGCTGGAGCTACGTCGTTCGTGGTTTGTGCGATTTTTTGAGTCAGAGGCAACGTTGTATGAAAATTTGATAGCAATCGGTTTAGTAGTTTCCGAGTTTAGATCTAACAAACTCGGAAAATAATCATTTTTATTAATATAGATTATAATATACTACTTTCGTCTTTAGGTATGTTTAAGATGCTCACTGAAGGTTTGACACCCTGACGTAACAAAATCTCAATCCGAAAGGCGAATCAAAAGGGCAAATTCAATATTTCCTATTCAATCTATAAAGAATTTATAATTATGGCATCCTTAACAGCCACGCCCGGTGGATATCATCTGCAGCCATGTTAAGGTATATTTTCACTTCATATTTAAGGGATGGTGTCTAATGAGTTAACGCAATCGATGAGTAAGAAATGTTATCACTTACTTGTAATATTGTTTCATCACCGGCTGTACTAAAAACACCCGTCTGCTCCAAGTTGACCGAACACTCTTCCAGCAACAGTGTCACAAAGCGGAGTCGAAACAACTGGCATGCTCTATAGAACACAGAAGAACTCAAATGGGCATTCGCTTTATAGTTGACCACTGCCTGTCTTGTCTCGGGGTCCCAAGACAAGATGTCCGACTCGAACTTGCATATTTTGTTTTCAGTGATGTAAGCGTCAAGTCGACCAGCCAGTGTTGATATGCTGGCTTCTGTCAAAACGATTTCTCCCGTGTCTAAATCTTGTTTGCGGCGCAAGAATCTGAAACATGTATGGGGTGAGAACATACAGAAATCTATTTCTTGACAATCCGAGGGGGTTTTGATATAGCATGAGCAATAAATTAATAAGTATTGTTCGGGAACCTTAACAGTAAAGGGAAAAAAAATTGAGATAGGAGCGTTTAAATATAAAAAAAGCGTACAGAAGTCTGTCGTGGTATTGATGGATGCTGACTACAACGGGTCTTCCCCGCAAAGGACTGCGGGTGGCACCTGTCAGGGGTACCCCACAGAAGTGCCCAAATTAAAACTTCGTTGAAGATGAACAATTAATTTATGATCTGTCTTTAATCTCATAATTGTACTGTAAGCCTATCAGTAGCAGCGTGGAGAGAACAAACTGATCAATCGATCTGGTTACAACCAAGACGAGCGTCTAGCACACGGTTATTCAGCTGGCGGCCCGCGGACTGACTGCAGCCCGCTAAGGCCTAGCAAGTGGCCCGCCGATCATTGCCATTCGTATTGTATTATTATCTTTCTATGCTGGGTCTTGGGCCATGACGATCACTATTTTCAATATTTTGGCCTCTGGGTAAACTAAGTTGAATAACCCTGATTTAGCAACTGAGCTATCGCGACGCCCTAGGACTATGCACATGTAGAATAGGATTCTGCAATAAACCACAAACGGAAGATTTCAGCATAGTGCATGAACTCCATTGCACCAATAGCGATTCTTCTTCTTCTTCTTCTTCTTCTTCTTCTTCTTCTTCTTCTTCTTCTTCTTTTTCTTCTTCTTCTTCTTCTTCTTCTTCTTTTTCTTCTTCTTTTTCTTCTTCTTCTTCTTCTTCTTCTTCTTCTTCTTCTTCTTCTTCTTCTTCTTCTTCTTCTTCTTCTTCTTCTTCTTCTTCTTCTTCTTCTTTTTCATCATCATCTTCTTCATCATCATCATCGTCTTCTTCTTCTTCATCATCTTCTTCTTCTTCTTCTTCTTCTTCTTCTTCTTCTTCTTCTTCTTCTTCTTCTTCTTCTTCTTCTTCTTCTTCTTCTTCTTCTTCTTCTTCTTCTTTTTCATCTTCATCTTCTTCATCATCATCATCGTCTTCTTCTTCTTCATCTTCTTCTTCTTCTTCTTCTTCTTCTTCTTCTTCTTCTTCTTCTTCTTCTTCTTCTTCTTCTTCTTCATCTTCTTCTTCTTCTTCTTCTTCTTCTTCTTCTTCTTCTTCTTCTTCTTCTTCTTCTTCTCCGCGTTCACCAGCTGTAAACTTCGGCGGAAAGTTCTGGTTGCTCGTCCACTTCTGGACTGCAGTCCTGTTCCAGAACCTGAGTGTTGCGTGTGCATCCGTTTTACAGATCTCACTCATTTGTATGCAGATTGCTGGTTCCTTGTCTCTCAGGCAGATGCACTCCGATTTCGAAGAAAGGACAGCGATTCAAAGTAAGAACATCTTATTTCTTCATTAAAGCATTTTTTTTAAACGAAGATTTGTGTTGTGGAATAGCAGGATACTTACCCTGCAGACTTTGTAGTTCGTAATGTTTTGTGCTCCGGTGCTGCCGAGTAGTGACCCATCGACGTTTTACAGCGAATCTCGACATTTGGATTTTTCACTCGTTGGCCATACATGTGAGTCTTGTTGGTGTTTCTTGATATATTGTGACGCCTGTGAAACATTGAAACCGCCACATTACGATGCTCTGGTGTGCCTGGCTTCATTTCCTTTGTATACATTACGGAAAGGGGAAGTCTTGGAGCACCTTCTGGACATGAAACTGCAGCAGACTCTGTATCACCTGTTGTAACCCTTCCCAAAACAGGGAGTGTAGGAGCATGAACTTGATGCGCCACTGACGAAGGCACTGCATTGTCTGTATGGATGTGCTGTATTTTTGAAGCTCTATGGCTTGTTTCGTTCCGTTTATCTCGAGAAGATCTGGCATCGTTTATTAAACTGATACTGTTCTCTTTAACGTTTTTATTAACACCCCCATTAGTTGTGTCATTTGAAATCTGCGCTGGTTCTGGCATTATGACACGCTCCTTCACATTCTCATTGATGTCATTACAAGCGTCTTTGACTATTTCTATCCTTCTATTGCTACGTGATCTTGGTGGTTTTTCATTTGAAGTCATCATCATTCTATTCTCAGTGGGATATACAACATAGACCCGTTTGCTGTACGAAACTTCGTTGTTTGGTAATTTGTTCTTCAATGATATCCCTATATCCTCATCGGTGATTCTTAACTTTCCTCTACCTCTATCAGTGCAGATACTTTTTGGTTTGACACTGAGACATTCCTCAAGCCCCATAGCGTGTTGTTTATGCGTATCCACGTCATTGCGAGGATAAATGGGCTGTCTAATCCGGTTAGACACTTGAATACGTCTACGTATCATTGTTGCAACAAGATATAGTGCCGGATAGCTCTGAAGACGTTAACAAATCAAAGATATTATTAAAACGACTTATATATGTGTGTGGGTGAAAAGCATATATAAATGTGTGTGTGTGTGTGTGCGTGCGTGCGTGCTTGCGTGCGTGTGTTTGTGTGTTTGTGTGTGTGTGTGTGTGTGTGTGTGTGTGTACAAGGTCCGACTATTAAGTAATGAGACTAATTCCATACAAATTAAAATAATCAACAGTTGAAGATATAACCTCTATTTTATTCGAAGTAAGCCCCTTGGGCATTGATATAGCGAGTGGCAGGATCTAAGAAACACTGAAACGACCTCTGTTGTTATGGTCCTTAAACCCGATGTAACGGCCCTTTGGATGTCATCAATATTGTCAAAGAAGCGTAATTTTAATGGTAACTTTAATTTTGGAAATAGAAAATAAACACAAGCAGACAAATCTTGGGAATAGGGTGGATGGTTGAGAACAAACGCTTGTTTTGGGGTCAAGAATTCCTGTACAACTACCGCCCTTCGAACCAGTGCACTGTCATGAAGGACAAAACTGCCAGGTGTTGAATACTCAGGTCCGATTCGGAGAATTCTTTGCAATAGACGTTTTAAAATACTTAAATAAACTGTGGCGGTGACAGTCTATCCCTCTGGAATAAAATCTATTTGCGAATAACACCTTTGCTGTCGTAGAAGCACACTAACATTGTCTTCACTTTCGACTTCTGAAGACGAATTTTTTGCCTTTTGGCATTTAGTTGTGGGATCATGTCGGAAAATCTATATTTCATCTCCAGTAAAAATCAAATTTAGGACATTTTTTTTTGGGGGGGGGGTCACAATTTTATGTTGTCTTTTGTATACAAAATGCGCTGGTGTTTTTGGTCATCAGACAACGAATTTGGTACAAACCGGCAATACAACTTTTTTCTTGCTCAAATCTTCCACTAAAATTTTACGAATGGTCTCTCTATTAACACCCAATTCATCTGCCATCATCCTCACAGTTAAACAACGATCTTGTTGTATCCGTTCTCTGACAGTTGCAATGAGTTTCTCATTTATCATCATGTAGCAGGTCCTTTGCAGAATGTCGCTCTCATCACGGTCTGCCTGAAAGAGTTTCTCATTACGAACAGAAATTGGGAGTCCATGTCTAGTTGCATTAGTAATCGTTTCCACACCACTTTCGAATTGTGAATACCAAGAAAATATGTTCACGAGATAAGCAATTACCCCATAAACTTTTCGCATCAATTCAACTGTCTCAATGGCATTTTTTTTTTTTAAACAGAATTAAATGTTAGCTTTTTGCACCATGCTGATTACGTAACAATGCACCCTTCGGTAAACAAAATGACGGCTTGTATGTTGTCTGCTTATCAGGTGGCGATGAAAAGTTGCCAGATAATAGATGAATGTTGCCTCTTTGGATTTCATGCTTTGCTTCATAAGGGGCAGTTTTGTCTTGGCTATAATAAAATCAGTCTCATTACTTAATTGTCGGACCTTGTTTATAGAGAGACAGACAGACAGACAGACAGATCGAGTTTTAAGCAAATTAGTTTAACACATTGATAAAAAAAATAAAAATGTACTGCCTGGTTTTGTTTATTTGTTTATGCAGCTATGTACTGCAGTTTTGTCCTATGATAAAGATGTTGGTCCACGCTGGTCAAATACGATCTACATCACTTCGTGATCCACCTAGAAATAGGTTCCCGGCCGTGAGTCTGGTCAGCGTGGAATGTACATTTCCTACAAAGTCAGAGTGCATTTGACGAGGAATCAATAGTCATCACACAAATAAACCAGATCTGTAAAAGGATGTCTACGCAACATTCAAGAACGAAACACGATCTTCACACAAATAAACCAGATCTGTCAAGGATATCTACGCAACACCCAAGGAGGAACTATGATCTTCACACAAATAAACCAGATCTATAAAAGGGTGTCTACGCAACATTGAAGGAGGAACTATGATCTTCTCATAAATAAACCAGATCTGTCAAGGATATCTACGCAACACACAAGGAGGAACTATGATCTTCACACAAATATACCAGATCTATAAAAGGGTGTCTACGCAACATTGAAGGAGGAACTATGATCTTCTCATAAATAAACCAGACCTGTAAAAGGATGTCTACGCAACACTCAAGAACGAAACAACATCTTCACACAAATAAACCAGATCTGTCAAGGATATCTACGCAACACTCAAGGAGGAACTATGATCTTCACACAAATAAACCAGATGTATAAAAGGGTGTCTACGCAACATTCAAGGGGGAACTATGATCTTCACACAAATAAACCAGATCTATAAAAGGGTGTCTACGCAACATTCAAGGAGGAACTATGATCTTCACACAAATAAACCAGCTTGCCACTTTGCACGAAGCATGCATGTTTTCACCTTCTCAACATGCCTCCACCTAGACTTTGTAAGGCTTTGCTGCACTAGGCGACGTCCATTCGGCTATTTTATGAAACCCCACGCACTTCGTCTGCCCCTTTACACAGAGCCATCTGTATAGAGAATAACATCACTTGGGCGGGAAATTGTCGTGAATCATTAGTTAAAGTTCTGATTCTGCAGCGCCAGCTGGCCAGTCTCTGCATTCACGACCCAATGTGATTAGAACCCTACACAAGTCTAAAACTTGTTCGGACACCCTGACCAACTCCTCTCCTCGCTCAAAATTATCAAGCCTGCACACATGTCTGATTGTGTCTTCAGCTTGCGCCATCCAAACCCTTTCTCTTTTCAGTCTGTGACCCAAATATGCCAGATATGTGAAAGGATGTCTACGCAACAGCCAAAGAGGAGACACGATCTTCACACAAATAAGCCAGACCTGTTAAAGGATGTCTACGCAACAGTCAAGGAGGAAACACGATCTTCACACAAATAAGCCAGATCTGTAAACGGGTTGTTCACTCAAGTCCTACGCAATACTCAAGTACTGGGTAACACTCAAGTCCTGAAATAAGACGAAAGTCGGAATGTCTAGCTTCCTTGTAATATTGTATGTTCATTTACTATTCACAGTCAATAGTTTTAAATTATACAAATTAGTTGCACGTCTTATTTAGAACGTTATAAACCAACTCTGCTTTTTCACTGCCCATTTTGTATGTGGCAGTGCAAAATAATTTTACGTTCACTAGTTGTCAATTGTAATACTATGTACATAAACTACTGGTTAAACACACTAACCTTTACATCAAATTCTTAATGATCCCATTTTCATTGTAACCCAGTGTGATTCAGCGCCTTTATACGAGTAACATGCATACATTTCCCAGACTGTGATAAATGAGTTATTGCAACTATAATGTTTATCTCTCAGTTTTTATACGTATCTCAGCAAACACACATAACAAAGAACAGGAGGCACTGTAGAGGTCACGCATTGTTTAACTTTTAAACATTCCGTTGGTCTGCTGGAATCGACGTCTAGTGGTGACAACAGAAGCAGTGACGTGTAACAGTGATTCTCTATCATCTAAAGGTGATCACACTATTGTTGCTGCCAGGGCCGTGCCGTAGAGAGACGCGTCTGCATTAGGCGGTACCATAAAGGAGGCTGCATTAGCAGCGAAATCAAAATACGGTTTCATTTTAGGATCTGACTGCGTGAAGCTATTAGGGGCGTTATTTCAAAGACTTGCATCTTACTTAGAAAATCTGCCGCTTTAGAACATGTAAAATACTAAGTAAGGTAGAGGTTTGCAAGATTAGAGGTTTGCAAAATATTTCTCTATCAGCAGTTTTTTTTTTAAATGGTAGTAGTAGCAGTAGTAGCAGTAGCCGCCGTAGTGTTTGTACTAGCAGCAGCAGTAGCAGCAGCAGCAGTAGCAGTAGTAGCAGTAGTAGTAGTAGCAGTAGTAGTAGTAGTAGTAGTAGTAGTAGTAGTAGTAGTAGTAGTAGTAGTAGTAGTAGTAGTAGTAGTAGTAGTAGTAGTAGTAGTAGTAGTAGTAGTAGTAGTAGTAGTAGTAGTAGTAGTAGTAGAGGAGGGGAGGCAGGAGCAACAGCAGCAGTAAAAGTATTAGTAATGACATGATTACAAAAATATCCTTAGCAACAGTTTTAGGATCACTGACCGCTGAGACAGCTCATAAAAAATACATATGGCAGCAGGGGACTATCTAGACGCCTGTTACAGTTTTCCCCATAGGCTGTTAACTTATTTATGTAATCTTCAGAGAAAGTCAACAATGCTTTCCAGCGCTGCAACGTAAATTAGAATGTCTCGTGATGACATCACAGTCTGCTTAACAAGTCTTACGTAAGCTTGCTTGTGCGTACCGGTGAAGTAAGGAGGAATTGCAGACAAATGAGGTCAGATCTAACACATAGCAAAAGTGCAGTTGAAAGAAAAATGTGAGTTCTACAAAACGAAAGAAAAAAAAGGTTGCGGTCGCGAAACTCTGGGCTAGGTAAATGCATGTGTGTTTGTGGGCGAGCGAGCAGGCGTTTAGAGTGTGTATGTGTGCCTATGTGAAATAATCTTTTTTGCAACAAATCATTACTTCTTCTCTTTCCCTTGTTTATTTTACCTTTCTTCTCCCCCCCCCCCCCCCTTTTCCTCACAGCTCCTACTGATCATGCTAGACTATTCCAACACCTTCTTGTAATGTATTTTTCTTGTTTGTCAAGGCTCGAGCTTTATAAGTAGTAAATACATCTTCTTCTTCTTTGTTCACCCACCGTGAGTCCTGGTTGTTCGCCCATTTGGACGTTGGCTTTGTGCCAGGGCTTGACTTCTGAGTGTACATCCGTTTTACTGGCTTATTTGTGTGCAGCAGGTTGTTCCTTGCCACTTGGGCAGATGCACTCCAACTTCGAAGGAAGTCCTCAATTAGTCGACTCCTACGACATACTTGCTGGGGAGATAGTGAGTCTGTTCTTGTTGTCACCACAATGGGACCCCGAAAATAATTAAGTGATCATCTTTAGTCTCCACATAAAAACATAACCGACCGGCATACTGTCCACTGAGCTAAAGACGCAAACTACTAATGAGTATCGTTTTGCGGGTAATAGACAGATACTCAGTTTCTGGGAAATTATCCATCAAGTGCACACACACACACACTCGCAAAGATTCATTGATAAAAAAAAAACTAAGTAGAGATGCTGACTATGTTTAAGGTAGTGAGAAGCACATCGTTTGGAGATCCCCCGGTGATTTCTTACCCAATTGAGGGTGGGTTGGAAGCTTAAATAATCTAAGCTCCTACCCTATTTTTGCCCAGGGGGCAGAGGAAATCCATCCCCCACATCTTCTTAATGTATTGTGGGGGGGGGGGTGTGTGTGACTGAGTGCCCCCCCCCCCTCTCAGTGTTAAGTTCGTGGCTCCGTGCACGAACCAAGATTTGAATCCTTTCACTGTTCCTATAAAATTATAGTTGTTTTTGAGAAGTCTCACCCTTATCTATCAGTGTAGGGTAGTTGATCCGGGAAATAGCTTTGGTAGATAACAAAGAAAGTGAAGAAGAAGAAGAAGAAGAAGAAGAAGAAGAAGAAGAAGAAGAAGAAGAAGAAGAAGAAGAAGAAGAAGAAGAAGAAGAAGAAGAAGAAGAAGAAGAAGAAGAAGAAGAAGAAGAAGAAGAAGAAGAAGAAGAAGAAGAAGAAGAAGAAGAAGAAGAAGAAGAAGAAGAAGAAGAAGAAGAAGAAGAAGAAAAGGGAAGGGAGAGGGCGTTGGCCACGTTAAAATTCCGTCTAGTGGGGATCGAATAGTGCATGAGGAAAATGCAGCTGGCAAGACACAATAAAAAGAAAGCAGCTCAGTATGGAAGATGGCCATGCACGATTCTAATGTTCGCTCATTTGCATCCTCTATACTGTGTGGTGATCGTGTACGGTACAACTATTATCCTGTGAGATTTATGAGACAAGACCTAAATACTTGGAAGTTATGAATTTATCCTTGTGCTATAAGATTGGTAATGTACCAAAAACCAAACCGCTCCTTATTTTATATAAATATTGACATAAAAAAGTGTGCTTAAGAAGAAAAGAAGCGACAATATTTGTAACATCTCTATAGAATTTTACTGTCTCCTCCTCATCCTTGTTCCCCACAAATGAATTTAGATAATCTCTGTTGCGAGGAGAAACTTGTGTAACTGGTAACAACTTAAGTTTCGGCGAAATATTAGTATTATTTCGTGTTTTTTTTTTTTTCCCTCTTGATACCAAATAGCGGTATCAGTGTTGCCACTTTGGATGTTTTACATCCAGATTTAAATGTTTTCCCTTGCATTTAGATGGTGTTTAACACGTTTAGATGGTAGATGTTTTTCTAGAAGTTTTCATTTAGAGTCAGACATTTAATATATTTTTTTCTTTCTGTGTCAGTTTAATAATTACTGTGCAAAATATTTACTACAATAATTTTGTTTTGGTCTGGTACGTACATTGTAACAATTGCGATTACTTAAACTTTGAACTCTCACTGGGGTCAACGCTCAAATATTTGGCAGCCCCCGGTTCTCATTAATTAAAAGCACGCGTAAACCATACTAACTTAGTTTCCTGAAAATCTAGATGTAAAGAAAAACATTTCACTCTTCTCTGTGAGCAACATACTTCGGCCAGTAAAGGACATACCTAAATATTGCAAAGTTGTGAAATTTTTAGGGGCTACTGATTCTGTGGAAGCAGAATACCAGTAAACCAAAATAAACTTAGTTGAATGGACAAACAAAATGAGAAACTGAAGCGTTTTGGAATAAAGTGTGATAATTTAAAGATGCCTCATCTGTGTCTATTTTGTAAGCTCTTTAAATGTGCTATGTCTGCCATGATACTACCCCACTCAAATGCTGACGTAGAAAGAGTTTTCAGCACTATGAATTATATCAAATCTAACCTAAGAAATATGATAAAATTTGACCTCTGAAATGCTATCTTGACAATAAAATTCGGTCTAATGAGAGTAGGAAAATGCTGTTCCACTTATCAGCCCCATGATTGTGTATTAAAAGAAACTGGAACAGCTAAAGCATACCAGAGTCATTTTGAAGCTTCAAGTTCATTATCCAAGCTCAGTTTATCCTGTGGATCTTGTGAGGCAAACATCAGTGAAGATAAGGACAAGATTCTATAGAGTAAGTGATATCAATAGCTATGTAATTTGTGACTTATTAATATTTGGATGTTTTTTCTAGATGTTTTCGCGCAAATTTAGATGTTTTGAGATATTTTTTGACTCCGTTATGGATGTTTTTTGTCAAAGAAAAGTGGCAACACTGAGCGGTATTTGTTTCAACTTCCGGTGGCGGAATTCGACCTGAAATTAAATAAAACAGGAAAGGAAGGCAACGCTTCGATTTAATCAACCTATATCATCATGAGCAAAGCACATCCACCAGAGTTGAAAAAGTGAGTAGAAATTAATTTGTTCAGCAATAATGTTCTTTAGATGTGTCTTCAAAGACAGTTGCTGTTTTATTTATTAGTAATTTGAATTATCTTGGTCATTTACGATATCCAGCCTAATACTAATATAGTATCAAAAGGAAACCCTTTGTCGTATCAATGGAGATTCAGTCCTTACCAACTTTCATACCGGCACAGGACTGCAAATTATAGCAGCAGGCCTGATGGTTGGTGCCCAAAACCTCTTTTCAGAGGTCGAAATATGTATTTAGGATTTGTCCCTTAGAAAACAAAATGACATTCTTAAAATAAATTCTCGTGATCGTGATCATGGGTAAGTAATCTACAAACCTCTTTCTTCAGAGTTCAGCAGACAAGCAGGTGGCATCCCGGAGGGAAAAAAACAGATGACGCGAAGACGCCATTGCATTTCTTTATTTGTGTTTATAAATATTTTTTCTGTAGATTTGGTTTTGACTACATGATCCATATTTTAATAATCTTGCAACTGTATGTGAGTGATATGCATGCTCTGTAAGTTTAATTTGACGGCTACTGCTTCGGCATCATTATCAGGAAATTTGGGCTCCCCTCTGAATTAACCCCCAAAATGGCAGCATGCCACATTTCTGGCCCAAAAATATCAGAACGACGGTGTTCGCGTGTATCTAAAATACAGACTTTCTGCGAAGGAACAAATCGCGGCAAAACCAGGATTACTTGACAATCAATATCGTTTGCACACGGTAGTAGCAGACGATAAATACCGACCGTTTACAACAATTCCACCAAGCGTTTCTGCAGATGATATTAGCGACCGTTGACCAATTTCAAGACATTACAGACGATGAAAGCCGATTAGCAATACTGTGTTCTTCCGATAGGAGGATTTAGCAGCAGTAGATGTCAGACTTGTCGGCATGCGCCAAACGCGATTAAACTCATTGCCGAGCGTATCCCCCTCGACGTGTGGCACGGATAGGGGCTAAACTAGGTGCCTAGGACTCACAAGTACAGTAATTGGAGGAAGTTGCAGGAGATGCGGTAGCTGCCGCTCGTGAGTCCCAGCCATCTAGTTGAGTCCCCATCCGCGCCACGCGTAGCAGCTCGGGAGATACGCTCGGTGGTGAGGCACACTCGCAGAAGCAGGTCGGCAAGTAACGTATCGCCGAGACCCTGTCAGAGCATTTGTTTCGTTATCCGGAGCCAGCACATATATTTTTAATGAAACTGACCCTCATTCGGATATTTTTGGGATATTTTATGGCATGAAATTGGCCAATTTAGCTCTTACAAACGCCATCATATTAAAGGGGCCCCCCCCCCCGGCAAAGGTAATAGAAAACATATAAGTGTAAACAAACAATTGATTGTGTCCCCTAGGGTATCTGTTTAAGTTTCATGCCAGGTAGCACAAAATGACCACCTATGCTTGTCTTATCACCATAGCACACTGAATTATGTTCACATATTTTTTTGTTTGATTAGAGCTGGCAAAGTGAAAGCTTTACTAATTCAGCACTTGCTGACCTTAGAGTTAGAGGAAATATATTAGCATATGACTGGTCAGATGTTATATTTATTTTTTTACAAAAACTCAGGGTAGTTAGTGCATGTGTAATTAATTAAATTAAAAATACCGACCAGCAGGGTTAATATCAATGCCAAGTGATGATAATAGCACAATTCTGCAACTTCTGTGACAAGTAGAAACCAGAGTAAAATATTGTCTGTAATCTTGGTTGTGAGGTAAAGATTTCCTCTACAACTGTAAGGGCAGACATACAGAACACGGGTTTTTAAATTGTGTGTTTACATTCAAGATAAGGTAGATACATCGATAATGAACCCACACAGCCTTTGGCACTTTTTTTTTTTCAAGTGTTTAAGAAGTCTGATGAAGTTTTTAGTAATCTGATGGCATTTTCCCTGCTGCTATAAAAAGTTACATCACAATACTATAGTCCATTCGACCAGAACTTTGACAATCTGTAACTCAGTAACTGTTGGGTGTAAGTTGTTGAAATTTAGCATGCAGCCTCTTGTGCCATTGTAAAATTATTTTTCAAATGTAGACATAGTTTTTATTTTTCGGTAATTAAAAAGCATGCTTACAGCAAATTGGGTAGGGGAAACATTTCAAAACAGCACATTGCACACATTTCATAGCCATTTCACTCTCAGGTGGTCAGCTACAGCTTTAGTCTCTGTGAGTTGCAGATTTTTTATTCAGTGTGGAATATGCTAACAAAATATATAATGTGACATTGCTGCACACATGAACTGATTTCCAATCTCCACAAACGTGTCAGCTACTGAATATTCTAATTTTTGTGGACACTGAAATTATTAAAGATTAAAGACATTTCCAGCTTTATAACAGCAGCATCAGTACTTATAGCATCATAAGGACATGGGGAAATCTAAGACCAGATGCAAAAATGAGTGCTGACCCCTAAAGCATGAGTTTTTGAAATGCAATATATGAATAATATTAGGGTATTTTCATAGCAAAAAGAAGAGCATATCTAATGTGGGAAACTCATATTCAAATTATTTGTAAGGTAACATTTTCCTCTGCAACAGGTTAAAAAAATATTAACCTGCACGGGCTGTGGCGACTACTAACCATGCCGCTCTAACTACTCAGGCTCAGATACCACACACACATGCCCACCTCATTACAAAAGTGGTTATAGCAAATGCTGTTATGATTTGATCAGTTTCATGAACTGACATCACAGCACTCGGGGCATTCCCATAAGCGCTCCGTCTCCATCTTCAGCAGCCAGCAAAAAGTTATGATACTAATGGTGCCTGTAGCATTCTGATTAAACGTTTGTCTTGCCTTTCCTCTGAGCCTCGAGCATCTGCCAGAACCTCTCGTCACTCCCCCCTGCATCAATCTCACCAGACTGGTGATCCATCTGCACCTCCGAACTGTACATGCTCTTACACAAGGCACTAACCACGTCTGCCCTATCATGTATCAGTATTCCACCAAGTTGTGCAGAGCCAGTCAGTCTGTCCGCCCGTTCATATACCAACACACCGGCCTGCCCCGGTGAAAAAATCCAGACAATACTCCTCACCCGTTTCCTTTTCAGCAAAGCATGCCACTCTGCACAAAGCATACCTGTTCTGATCTTCCTTTGCAGGCTTTCTGAGTCAGTTGCAATCACGATGTGTGTGTCGTGTTCTCTAGCCAGCGGAAAGCTGAAATGACCACCTCCACCTCCATTCTTAAGCTGGGTGTTGTATCATATGCTAGGCTCTCCTGCATCAAACGTCGACCGTTAACTTTTGCTAAGAAGCCCCAAGCACTTCTTTTGCCTCTTGACACTAAACCGTCTGTGTAAATGATCCAATCCTCTGAGCGAGCATTATCTTGAATTAATTGCTGAATTTCCACCTCCGTTGCACCTGCTGACCAGTCTCTGCATTCCCTGCTCAGCGTGATTATGACTCTACACGTCTAACTGTTCAGGTGGCACTTAGACCCACTCCTCTCCTCGCCTAATGTTCTCAAAGATGCAAACGTGTCTGATTGTGTCTTCTGCCTGAGCCATCCATGACCTCCCTCTTATCAGCCGCTGACCCTTTACTGCACCCACAGCTTCATGCAAAGAGTGGTCTGTGTCTGCAGCTACCCTGAGATATGACTTCGCCTGCAGCACCTTGTGCCTACCTGCAATCACCGGCAAACCAATGATGTATCGCATACACACCACTGGGGTGTCTCGTGCAACCCAGAATGACCCGCATAGCCGCGTTCAGTATGCGCTCTAGTTTGTCCATCTCACTCTTTGAGACTAAGCAGTCCCAGGCCATAATCAACCACTGACAGGATCAGGTGCTGATATAGTGTGAAACGCATTCTCTGCTCTGTCAGTTGCAGCCGTAGTCTTAGTGCACTAAGCCCTTTTTGGCATCTCGTCAGAACACTCTCCACATGGTCCTTAAATGACAGGCTCCTGTCAAATGTAATTCCCAGATACTTTAGTTTGCTCTCTCTATTGATGTTTCTACCATCTATCGTTAGACTTTGGACATTGGCTTTAACGATTCTGTTGTCCAAAGAACACCCACAAAACACGACTATTTCGGGTGGACGACAGCCCTCATTGCTGTACACCACTCAGTCACTTTATCTACTGTCGCTTGTAGCTCCCGGGCTGTTTGATCCCTTTCTTCCCCTGCCTATATGCAAGTATATATAATTCGCAAAAGTCAGAATCCCTTCAACTCCTGGTGCTTCTAGGCTTGCAATCTTGCTTGTATACCTGTTAAAGAGCACATGCGAGGTGGCGGTCCTGGGGCCAAAGTGCATGGTTCTGAGGTCAATGAGCCCAGCTGGAGAGCAACCCGACGTGAATACAGGACAGCTGCAACCCAATTCACCAGCCATGGACTGACCTCCTCCTCCTTCAGTGCAGTCATTAAGATGTTGTATCTCACTCTGTTATAAGCATCCTCGAGATCCAGTCCTACCGCCATAGTTTCCTGTCAAAAGCAAAAGTGGCCGCATTTGCCCAAGTCTCCTTTCCTAGCCTGTAGCTTCCCAGACCTCTTGTGAGAAGTTTCCCCTGTACACCCAGTTCTGTGGTACTGATGCTGTCTTAATGCTCTGGTTAAAACAGTCGGCTATCTCTGCCAAGTCTACACCGCTCTAAACCTTTATGTAACCATACCTGACTCCATCAAGCCCTGGTGCAGTGTCTTTTGTACCATGACTTCATAATGCATATTCTTCAAGGTGCCAGCTAACACCTTTCTAACTGCATCCCTGATGTCTACATTATTATGATCAGTGTGAGCTATAAAATCCTCCCCTTTCTCCTTGTCTGTTGTCATACGCACACCATCGCCTCTACAAATTGTTCAGACTGTCATTGGTTGATCTTTTCGTTGCATCTGCCTTTGCAGTTTCCAGAATTTCCCCAATGTTTTATTGTCTCCCATATCATTCACAAAAGTTTCCCACTTTGCTCTTTTGGCCTCTGCAGCACAGCGCTTGAAAACCTCCACCTTATCTTTTTCACATTCTCCGCCATCTTCACTTCCTATCGTGATAATGCTGTTATAAGAATGTTAAATGTAGGCCTTCATAATACAGGTGAGTCTGGATAAGTAGAAGTTACAGGGACATAAGAACATGCTTCCACTTATCAGGGTTTCTACTTTTCCAGACAGCACACACAATAGAGAAAATTGCAGCGACTAAGCTGGTCATGTCGACTTAACCGAAATTCGACTTGAGTGGACTCTACTGAATATTCTTTTTCTTGTTCCATGACTTACGAGATGGAGGCCAGTTACTTTCTTCAGTTTTTTTTTGTAGTTTCTTTTTAAAATGTCAGTCTAGAACTGTTAAAATTCTTGGTAATCTAATTTTGTTATTTTCTTCCCTATAGATACATGGAGAAGGTTCTGACATGTAAGTAAAATTCATGTTTCTTTGTTGATAGTTTTATTTTAAAATATTTTATATTGTTGGAGACCTAAATGACAATAGATCAGGGAGTCACAGACAGCTTGAGACTTCACAGCATACCAAGAAACTGATTGTGCCCTGGCTCAGCTGCTTATCTGTTCAGTTGTGGTGCCTGGGGGCACAAAGCAAACATTAACCAGTTAAAGCAATAATTGTTTTTAGTGTCATACTGGTCAACAATTTTATTGCTAAAAATTATCTATAGACCAAATGTACTTGACATTTTGACTTTATAAAGGCATAAATCCTTCAGTGCATATTTAATAAAACTCAACAGAACCACATTATTTGCTAAGCCTCAACATATTATATGTAGTTTTCCTTGCACAATTAATCTTTATATATATATCGTTGTTCTGTTATGGGGTAATATGTTCCATAGGCCTCGCTGTCTTTTTCTCCCTTCCGTTCCGTCTTGTGCAATCAATTCATTATGGATGGAATTCAGTCCAAAATGATGGTTCGTCACTTTTCAAGCTGTATCCAATATCCTGCTATCTACTCTTGTCTTATATAACTGGATACTTGTGGTTGCCTAGACATTTGTTTTTTCTTTACCCCTCTTTTAAATTCATCTCATTTTATGTTTATTTTCCTCAGGAATTTGTTTTTGAATGCGTTCCATGTTTTTAGCGTTTTTTTACTTCACTAGCATGTTAAAATTGAAATATTAGAATTGATAATTTATAACTGAAATATGAAAAAAATAAACAAGGAAAATCAAGCACACAGAACGTCCAGCTAACGTTATTTATTTGAAAAGGTTAGATGATATACTGCCAGATAGAAGTAAAGTTTAGATTTTCACATATTTTAGGCTGTTACCTAGAGGTGGTTGGTCTATTATGTACCCTATTGGCTTAGTGTTTCAAAAATTATTTTTTTTTGGGAGACTGGTCTTATTTCAGGGCCATTTTGGTCAGGGTAGTACTACTTTGGGTTTGAATCTAGATAATTCTTGGCAGGCAAGCACACTGATCACTGCCACCTGTTGTATAAATTATTTGTAGAGTAGCTATTTGTTTAGCATATGGTGTCAGTTTACCTGCCTCATCTTACAACTATCGGAAAGACATTTTATCACCCTTGCATTGGACTATTTAGTCACACACAGCACGGTTCTAGTCCTTCAGGGCTGCAGAGTAGCCCGCTGAAAGTGTTTATTAATTATTTCAATCTGTTTGATAAATTTTAGGTAATTTATAATTGCATGAACTGTATTTTTTTTTTTAACTGCTGAACTGCATTTGTTTCTCCAGTGAAGCTCAATGGTAACCGTAAGGTGACAGGTACCCTACGTGGATTCGATCCATTCATGAACCTTGTTGTTGATGACTCAGTTGAAGAGACCAAGACTGGAGAGAAGAGGAATATAGGCATGGTGGTAAGTTCTGATGTTTGATCGCAGGTACATGGGTGCGGCACTAAGATAAAGGCTGTTCTGCAGTGGTTTTCCTCTTTTCTGTCAATATATGTGAGCTTGGCTAAGTAATTTGAAACTAAACAGTTGTTGGACAGGATCATCATCATCAGGTGCCTTGTCAACTGGCGTGGGCGACCATGCCTCTCCATAATCTGCGGTCTCCTGCAGTATGTATCAGTTCGTGTGCCGACACAACTCCGTGCCATGCAACAAAACTGTCAAGCATCTTCTCTCGTCTTCCTCTATCCCTCCTTCCACAGATCTTTCCAGTGGTCTTCTCATAACATGGCCGAAAAATGATGACTGTCTCCTTCTGATGTCTGTGATAAGTTGTCTCCGGGCTTCCGCCTCTTTCAAAATCTCAGGATACACAAGCATTTTTGTGATTTATACATTCGTAATTTAATGTGGTAAAATAATTTCATAAGTTGTGTAGCAGTTAAGATTGCATTGTTTATATTTTATTTAGGCCCCGTTGGTAAAGCTAGACATTATGCTGCTCAAACAGAAAAGATTACTTTCCACATTTGTTGTATAAGACGCATTCTTGATATATCATGGCAGGACTTTATCCCAAACAAGTATGTACTCAGAACAGAAAAGTAGGAATACCAGCAGTAAACTTTCTGCTAAAGCATAGATGCCTGTGTTGGTTAGGACGTGTCTGTCGCCTAGAAGACGCTTGCACTCCAAAGAATGTCCAGTAAGGTGAGCTGATAACAGCAATGGTACCTGCGGAAAAGCCAAAGCTACACTGTAAGGACATATGCAAATGCGACCTGAAAGATATCAATATTGACATGGGCATTTGGAAGAGATCAGCTGCAGACCAACTCTTTTGGAGGCAGACAGTGAAAGACGTTCGCAGTTTGACAGAGAGAAAGCCAGCTTTAGCATTATTTTTTCATGTTGGCTGTGCGGCAAAGACTGCCACTGCAGTCATAGCAGATGCTGCTCCTGAAACCAGCTGCACAGCTCCATGGTCCTCAGGGACTGACGGTTGTCTAGTACTGCTACATTTGTAATACTGTTTATCTCCTTCTCAGAGCCATTTTATGTTAGATTATGGAGCCTCAATTCAAAGTTACCTTTGGATTTTATATTCATTTGTGGATTCTTATTACATCAACAGGTTATCCGGGGCAACAGTGTAGTTCTTCTGGAGTCGCAGGAACGAGTTTGAATGAAATCATCACTTATCAGCTCATTTCATGTTTGATTTGTTAATTCTCTTGTGAATAAATGTATACTTGATTTTCATTGCTGATAGTTATGATTTGGTATGAATACAGTTATGAGTATTTTCAAATACTGAGGTCAAGGATATGTAGTATTTCAATTAACAGTGTAAAAGCACGCTTGTAGTTTCATTTTTTTTTTTTTTTTACACCACGTGTTGTTGAAGAAAATAAAAGTGTTATTACTTTTCATTTCTGTTTGTTTATAAGCTGCTAAGCATTGATCCCTGCAGTGTTTCCCATGTTTTTACATCAGCACATGATCTGTTTGGTTATAAGTCTATCCATTCTTTACTATATTGTCAATAGCACACATAATCTAACCACAAGTCCACCTGTTTAACATTTCCCTGTGAAATTATATGTTAATGTTTTCAGTTCTGTCTTTGACAGCTTCATCAGATGGCAATCTTTTAAGTCAGGTTGTATGTGTCAGTCTCCGACCCAGGTAATACTGTATCTACACATGAAGAGGCCACGTTGTTTCTGGGGCGTGAATTTTGTGTGGGGAGTGTCAAAAAGACCAAAACAGAAAAAGTAGTGCCTGCAAGCAGTGAAAGGTGAGCTGCATAAGCCATTCATGGACAGTTTCTGAAGCTCTTTAGCAGAAAAAGTAAAGCAGACATTGCAGCGAGAGGTGTGATTTGGTTATGATACCAGGAGGGATTACTACATGTTACATCCACTCGTCATTTCTAAGATTGGGGCTTATTTATGGTTTTTCTGTAGTGACCGAATATGCAGCTTGACTGAAGTGATTCCAAACTGGGCGTGTGCAAATCTCATGATGTGGGCGGATCGTAACTGCATAGAAAGGGACATGTCTAATGACTCCACATAAGCAACACCCTGTTTTTCAATTGAAATACAACAGTCTGTACACGCATAAATACAGTTATTAGTGCAGCAGTTCAGATATTTTTTATATTGACTGTAGCATTTTCTGCTGGGGTGAATCCTGCTAAATTTTCCATCTTAAAAAAGTTTTGAGATATTTTGTCTTAACTGCTGTATTGTAAATTTGATACCTAGAGGTCCATAAGGGCAGATATATCGTGTTTTTCTAAGTATTGGGCCCGTTTGTTTAATATTGGTGAAAATTTTCCCCACACTTATCAAACTACAGGAAAAGCTCTGTTATCACGAATTTCTCCCTATTTAAAATGAATGTACATTTAGAACTCAAGTTCTAGAGCATGATGAACGACCAAAACTTGCCACCAGAGTTTACAGCTGGTGAACGCTTAGAAAAAGAATTCCAAGGAACCAATCACATTGAATACAGTTTCTGGGGGTTACGAATAACATCCTGCTGTGACCACAGTTTTATATTGTTCAAGTTACATGTGAAAAGCATTTATTTTTAAGGCCGTGAAACCTGGAGCACATGTGTAAGAGACGAAGCCTTATTAAAGATTTTTGAAAATGCTATGTTTAGATCAGCAGAGAGCAAAAAATGGAAAGAGAACCAATATAATTTATAATCTGTTTAAAATCACGGTTGATCACTGGCGTCGATAGAGCTGGGGAACAAAGATAATGACATGTCAGAGAGGCTAAACTTACACAAAAAGGTTGAATGGTCCACAAGTGGGTGAACATAAAGATAAAAGTGAAAACCCGCTGTGTAGCAATGCTGCTTGCTTACTATCTTTATCCCATTCTGTGGCAACTTTGAATAATAACTGTTAACATAAGCCTATCTTTGTTTATTGCATACGCCGCAGCATGATTTATTTAGTCTGGAGAACACAGAAGTGTGATACACCGCAAATACGGTAAGTGAGATTATCAGTCAATAATTTGATGAAAAACTTTAGATGGCTAAGGTATCAACGAGCGGACTAACACCAGTTTAAACATAGGTCAAGAATCCTCTTCCAGGACTTGGAGTGTATTTGGCATACAGAGCTAGACCAGTATTTTGTAGATCATGGACAGCAGCAAGATCTGATTTAAAGACGTGAAGAGAGTTCTGGTACTCGTTTTGCTTGAAGAAAGGCTTCCCAATACAGCTTGGACTTTAGTTTTCACTGACAGCTCTGCAGATAAGTCTCAAACAGGATACGGAATCTAATCAAACAACCCAACAGCAGGGTATATAAAAGCATTTCCTTTCAGCAGGTGACAGCTGCAGAAACTACAGAGCTAATGCAACTGCCCTCCAGTACTTCATCACACCAAAATACAGTATGCACATAATTGTCATACTCGGGGACTCATTGTCTTTTTTTTACATAACTGTCGAGCAGAAAACATACGAACTGATGGTTGATCTGAGAACCTGCATTGTTTGCTTCCAAGAGAGGCAGAACTGGTTCTAATGACCAGCTCGCAGTGGTATTCTGGGAAATGTGGGAGTAATCTTTCACCATGACCGGCTTTAAAGTCTGACGTGTCTTTCACATTGTAATCCACCATCATCATCATCATATAGCAGGTCCTTTGCAGAACGTCGCTCTCATCACAGTCTGCGTGAAAGAAACTCGGTCTCTCGCCAGCTCTACCGCCTCATGTACTTTCATACTCAAAAAGTCACTTATATCTTGTGTCCATCTTTGTGTCAGTCGGCGCCTGGTATCATGTCTTCTGCTATTATTTTTTTCCAATCCGTCGTGGCGCTTGATATGACCAAAATATTTCAGCTTCCGAGACAAGATGCTGTTTATTGGCCAATCTTCCTTGATGTTAAGCTATTTCAAGATGTCAATATTTCTTCTTTTGTCCAAGATATTCTGAGAATCTTTCTGTAGCATTTCAGCTCAAAAGCCCCTATTCTCTTTCTTAAGGAATGGGAGATGTCCACGACTCACATTTGTATGTAGCCACAGGGCAGATGCATACTCTCAAAATTCTTTGATCTCCATAGACTTTTAATCCTCCTTTTAACTTTTGTCAGTCTCCATTGCTGTTTATCACAGAGCCTAGGTGTTTAACGTGTTTGACATTTTCAATTTCTTCATCATTTATTGTTATTTTTTGGGTGACATCCAGTTTTATCTGTGAAAATTGTTTCGTTTTCTTTAAATTCAAGAACAGATTTTGATCGCCACTTTGCTTTTGGACAGGAAATATAAAATTGTATTTTCCCTTTACGCTGTTCGAAAGGAGGACTGTGTCACCTGCGTAGCGAAGTTCCAGAATAGGGTTGCCATCAATTTTGAGCGGATCATAACTGTCACAAGTCAGGTCATTTTTTTTACATTTCTCATTATATTTTCGACGTATATATTGAATAGGTATGGTGACAGAATGCACCTCTACCTCATTCCCTTTTGAACCTCGAACCAATCCGATGTTTCACCAGCTGCTCTGATGGCTGCTTGTTCATGATAAAGATTTTCAATTAAATGCGCTGGAAACCCCATACTTCTCATAATAGTCCACAGTTTGTGGTGTTGGACACAATCACAAAATGGCCTTAACCCCCCCCCCCCCCCCCCCCCCCCCCCCCCCTATCTAATCCACCACAGAAATACAAAAAAAAAAAAAAACGAACAGTCCTTTAATAACTGAGATGCGGAATGGAGTCATAGTTTTGATAGAACTACTGAATATTGTGGGGGCGGAGAGCGTTAAAAAAGGACTTTCCCTGGATAATAAATAAGAAAGCGGAAGTAATGATTATATCAAAGAAGAAGATAACGCCACACGTGATATCTCAATTGAAGCAATAAAAGCTTAGCGAGTCAGGGGGTGGAGGGCACTTCCTGTTTGGTTATTTTTAGACGAAGTCAAAATGACGTAAGGGCTGTTTAAAAATTTTAAACAGTTCAAAAAAGAAAGTTGCAAATTACAGTTGTCATAAAGAACTTATAGGACAAAAAAAAAAGTCGGGTATAGATTGCAAATAAGCAGAAGGGTCTCTTTGCTTTTTATTTTCTTCTTCCAACCGATTGATGGAGGTTCATGTTTTTTTTTTTTTGGGGGGTGGGGGGGGGGGGGGTCCTCGGAAAGAGAAATAATGGCCTGGAGAAAAGATCCAGAGTATGCTCACTACCCGTGATCTTCCCAGTGAAGCCTACCATTCTGCTCACAGAATCACTGTCTTCACCTTTCTCAGCATGCTTTTAGTCTGTTACAATTATGACATATGTATGCATCTTATTCTCTAGCCACCGGAAAGCTGCAGAAACCGCCACCACCTTCATTCTCATCCTAGACGTGGTGGTATCGTATGCTAGGCTGTTCTGCACTAAAGATTTTCCATTGGCTTTCTCTACCTACTCCGATTCCCTTCTCTTATTTCTTAACACCGAACAATCTGTATATATAATGAGATCATCTGGGCGAAAATTGTCGTGAATCAATTGTTGGACTTCCACCTCCGTAGCACCCGCTGGCCATTCTTTGAACTCCCGTCTCGATGTGATCATAAACCTACACAGATCAGACGTCACCTCTGGTACCACTCACTCCTCTCCTCGCCCGATGTTCTCCAGCATTAATACTTGTCTTATTGTGTCTTCCGCTTAAACCATCCACGGTTTTCCCCTTTTCAGCCTCTGACTTGTACCTTCAGCCAAAGCTTCACACAGAGGGTGTTCTTTGTCTGCAGCTGCTCTGAGGTATGATTTAGCCTGCATAACCTTTAGCCTATCTACAATAGTCAGCAAGGATGCACACAATGTCTCTTGCACATCACAGAATCGCCCGCATAGCTTCATTATGTAAGCCTTCCAGTTTCTCTAGCTGACTCCTCGAGACAGTGAGTAACCCCAATCACTGAGATGATTAAGTGCTCGTAAAGTGTGAAAAGCATTGGCTGCTCCATGTCCATTGCTGCCATAAGCTTAAGTGCTTTATGACCCTTTTCAGCCTTTGTCACAAAACCCTCTATGTGATCCTTGCAAAACTTCTGTCAAAGGTGATTACCAAGCACCGCATCTCTTTTGATGTCCCTGCCATTTGTTGTGACGCTTGGAACATCAGCACTAACAATCCG